ACCGACTTTGTTGCCAGTTGGGGATGGTCTATGTCAGCAATTCGATATTTTATAACAGCCAGATTTTCTCAACGAGTTTAGGACGATTTAAAACTTACTTGAGGCATGTAATTAACATCCTACTATCGGAAGAATGTGTACATGTGATTAAACAGCCAAAAAAGTGTCCCAGACGTAGTGCAATGATGTAAACTTACATTTCCTATACCCTTAGCCGAAAGCAGTGACTAGGCTCACCAAACGCCGAGAAAAAGGCTCGGCACAGGTGCCTTATAAGCAAGCTAGTTATCGTTTTTTGGACAAAAAGCAAAGGGAATGTCGGGCGGAAAAGGCTCCAAAAAATTACCCTTTTATTAGTTCATGTTTCGTTTTTTGAGGATTGTTTACGCTTGATTTAGGGTCAAATCGACTTTCGCAGAATTTTGTGAAAATCAAGGAAACTTCGTTTTTTTTTTCATTTTCAGAAAGCCACCCTGTGCCGAGCCCTGGAAAAAGAAGTTAATTTGAGCTATTTGAGGTCCTCCACCCTATCTTTTTGTGACCGTAAGACATTGAAGCAGCAATTTATCAGTGTTGGAACCGCATCGCTCTAGTTTCTGCATCAACGAACGAGTGGTGAAAGGATCGTTTTGGCTGGCTAGTTTGGGGGTATATATCAAGAGGCGTGCTTTTTATTGCCAGCTGGGCAGCAAATAGCTCATATTTGGCGTTCTATAACATTCTGGAAGTAGTTTAGAATTAGAGGAAATATACGAGATGGTTGCACGAGTTGTCCAGTCTTACTGTTTCAAATTCGAATCCATATGAAAACGTTGAAGGTCAGAAACTCATGAAAATGCATCTTTTAACAAATTTGTGAATATTTTGGTCAGATTTTCAGCAGAAACCGTCAAATTCAGCAAGTGTTAGCTCGAGATAGCTAGCAAACCAATGTTCTGGTGCTTCTTGTAGGCACGCTTAGCATTAAACTTGAGTTTTGAGTTAGTTACAGCAGCCAGAGAAATCGCGCCTGTTGACTGTCTCCCCCAATTTGGGGCATTGTTGCATCCTGCATGAGCAATTGCCGTAATCTCACCGATCATCACTATCAAGCACAACCCTATACATGTATTTATTGTAGTTCTAAGACTCGTAAACCATAGATCAGTTCAACTGTACAAAAGTGACTAGAAACAAGCCGTACAAGACAAACTCCAAAACATTCCTGCAAGGCAAAAATAGTACAGCGAAGCAAGCTGTACTTATGTTTTGATATGTGGCCGTTATCAAGAGGTAGCTAAATGCACTCTGTTAACAAACAGAAGCAAAGATCATTCAGATTTTGATTTCCTGAGTAAAGTTTCCCTTAGAGGGAATAAAAGTATAGCCACATGCCCAATGGTGGTCGAAAGTGAGCCTATCAGGGCAAATGATGAGAAACCAAAGGTGTCCAAGATAGTCCCTGCGATTGCCGGGGCAAATGTGCGAACAAGGGAGTTGAACGAAGTGGCGATGCCGAGCACCAGACCCTAAATAATAAGTTTTCCTTAGAAAGCATATGGTAAACAACAAAATAGAAAAGGAAAAAGGTAAGCTGATACCTGCTCATTCTCAGCGACAAGTGCGGTGAGAAGACTATCAGCGACTGTGGCGACCAAACTCATTCCGAATGAGATAAATGGCATGATGACCACTATCATCCATAACCGGTGGA